GGGACGTCAGCAGGTACCTCAGTCAGCGCTAATGTCAGGAGAACGTCAGGGAAATGTCAGCTGAGGAAGTGAGGTGCTTACGGGATAGCTAAGAGAGAGAGAGAGAGAGAGAGAGAGAGAGAGAGAGAGAGAGAGAGAGAATGTGTGTGTGTGTGTGTGTGTGTGTGTGTGTCTGTGTGTACCTGGCCAGCCCTCCATAATTAACCACCTACCTGCTCTTTCCTCTCACCTTGATGTACAACACCTTGAATATCACCTCTTAATTGTATAACAGGTGTGAAAAGTTTATGTTCTCGTTGTGAGCAAATTGTCTCTCGTCATCCCTGGATTACTGTTTAGGTGTAGACGCTAATTTAACTTGATCTACAGTAATTTAACCTAACCTGACTTAAACAAATCTAACTTTAACCTAATCTGTACCTAATTTAACCTTATCTTCAACTAATTTAACCTAACCTGACTTAAACTAATCTAACTTTAACCTAATCTGTACCTAATTTAACCTTATCTTCAACTAATTTAACCTAACCTTAACCTATTGTAACGTAGTTTAACCTAACCTAACCTAACCTAAGCTAACCTAACCTTAACCTATTGTAACGTAGTTTAACCTAACCTAACCTGAACATTTTAATTATATGAAAAACACTTGAATTAACATATTTTCACTGTATTATTTTAATTAACTAATACAATATCAATAAGTGTTCTTAGAAGCCAAATTAGTTAATAAATATAAATGAAAATAAAAACTTGCAGTAGATTATGTAAATTGGAATTGAAATTTACGAAAACATTACAGCATAGTTTCATTTTGTTTTTTGTTCTAATTTAAGTATAAACAATTTAATATTACTAGTGAGTTTAAATTATGCATACGTAGTTAAAATCTACAATAAGAGTATAACATTTATTTTATACTAAATTTTAAAACAAGTTGAGGCGGAGTTGAGGAGGGAGGGGAGTGGTGGGAAGGGAGGGGGTAGAGGAGAGGGGGGAGGTAGAGAGGGAGGAGGGGAAGAGGAGAGGGAGAGAGGGGGGAGGGGGAGGGAGGGGTAGATAGGGGAGAGAGGAGGGTATGGGGGAGGAAGGGGAAGAGAAAGAGGGAGGTGGGGTAGGGGAGGGGGGGGGGCTAGGAGAGGGGGAGGGCATAGAGGGAAGGGAGGGGGGTAGAGACGGAGGGGGTAGAGAGGAGGGAGAGGGGGTAGAGAGGGAGGGAGAGAGGGGTAGAGAGGAGGAGAGGGGGGTAGAGAGGGAGGGAACCAAAACTGATGGCAGGAGTGAGTTCATTAAGACACCGTTACCTGGACACACCTGCCGCCTCGCACACCTGTTAATGACCTCACACACCTGCTAATGACCTCACACACCTGACTTACTGCCGCAACGAGACTTTAAACTCTTCGTTTTATTGTACATAGCTGATTGGTTAACGTCTTACGGAGTGGCTGACTGACTGACTGACTCACTGACTGGCTGACAGCTGACTGACTGACACTATGGTGCTTTGGTTGACTGGTTGAATGGTTTGTTGTCTTCGTTGGTTGGGTTTGATGACTTGAATGTCTCTTCCATCCACCCCCTCCATCTATCTCTCCTCTACTCCGCTAACTCCCTCCACTCTACCTTTCCCCCTACTTCCCTTCCGTTATTCTTTGATTAAACAATTTCAATGAGCCGCCAATTTAGGACAAGGCCTTCGTCAATAAGGAGAGATATTGCTGGGTCTGTGTGACGGGTAGGTCGAGGGAGGGGGAGGGAGGGTGAGAAGGAGAGGGGGGAGTAGGAGGAGGGAGGGGGGAACGTGAAGAATTCGATATTTCACGTTCTCAAATTACCACGTTCGAGTCCCGTTCAGTCCTGAGTTCTGGTGCACTATAATGCCAACCTTCTTCTTCTTTCATTCTCTAAGGTCATTTGGGTGCGTCCTGGAGGGGTGGGGCGGGGGGGGATAAGACAGCAGTTTGGGATGGGAAGGGCGGGCAGGTGGGCGGGGCGGGGCGAGGTGGGACGGGGCAGGGCGGGGCGAGGCGAGGGAGTATAATGTTACCACACATTATTTTTTGTTATATTAAAGGTTAGTGATCAAATGTTATCAGATAGAGAGATGGACCTTAATATAACTCTCTCTCTCTCTCTCTCTCTCTCTCTCTCTCTCTCTCTCTCTCCAGGGGTCAAGGTGTGGTGGTCAGGTACTGTAATAAAAATAGCTGTATATAATTCACACTCGGCAACCCCCTCCTCCTCTTACGTCACCCACCATAATGTAAACAAATGATTCCGTCATTGATTAATTTCTTACTTGTTCAATTCATCAACGTCATTTTCCTTTCTTAAATGAATTATAAACACGAATTTATGACGTTATTGGTGATGTATTTTGAATTTATTACCTGTTGTTTATTGTATTACCTTGTGTTTATGTCTTTAGCGGTTTAAATGAACTTGTCAAGAGTACTTATTTTTATGGCGACACGTGGCAACTTATCGTGACGTCATAGCCACTGTCGACCTATTATTGGTTAGGACAAGGTGTTGTTGACGTCACCCTATGGTTTCTTTTTTATCATTGGTAGGAAAAACTCGTGACATCACACTCACCGTCGTTCCTCATTGGTTATCATGTGGAGCCTAACGTCATAATAGCTTTCATTATTATCCGGAGTAAAGACGTGGTCGACTCTGCATTAACATTTTTCTGTAATTGGATAGGGTTAGACAGGCAGGACGAGAGAGAATATACTTGTTTATGATTGGCTGGGGCGAGGAACTTATGCGTCACGATCAATAGCCGCGTCTGATTGGTGGAGTTAAGGCACTCCTTACGTCACAAGTTGATTTTTTTCATCGCGAGTCCGTCCATGATCCTCCCTACGTCACCGTGGTATCTGGTGTCTGATTGGTTGGTGTGTAGCATTATATACTCCTGTTCTCCTTCCTGATTGGTTGGTGGTATGCGTACCTTGCGTCATAGTTAATACTTATGCCTAATTGGATGGTGAGACACAGATTACGTCATTCCCTATTCTCGTACTTAATTGATTGGTGAAATACTGATTACGTCATACCCTATTCTAGTGCCTAATTGGTTGATGACTTTCACTTATTAGATGACACCTTAAACAACCAACCTAAATGATCTGATAACTTGACGTAACTTAATCTTTCTTAACCTAACCTAACCTAATCTAACCTAACTTAACCTAACCTAACCTAACCTAACCTGACCTAAATCTAACCTAAACTTAACCTAACCTAACCTTAACATTTACCTGACCTAATCTAACCTAACTTAACCTAACCTAACCTAACCTAACCTGACCTAAATCTAACCTAAACTTAACCTAACCTAACCTTAACATTTACCTGACCTTACCTGACATTTTAAGTATGGACAATGGCGTAGTTAATTTGCCCAGGTAAGTGTCTTCCTGGTGATACCTGTAATTTACTGATGAATATTGTATTAAGTCGTAGCGAAGTGAATACAATTTCCGTGGCGCTTGGGAATGAGAGCGAGAGAGAGAGAGAGAGAGAGAGAGAGAGAGAGAGGCGACAACACAGGACTCTCACAGCTGGCCCTCACCACCATCTGGCCGCCTCACAGCTGGCCCTCACCACCACCTGGCCGCCAGACACCAGCGTTAAGATCACCCACATCCCCAACAGGCTCTACCATCTGGCTCACAGCTGGTTCTGAATCCGGCCTAGAGAGGGGGTGGAGAGGATAAGGAAAGGTAGTCTCTCTCTCTCTCTCTCTCTCTCTCTCTCTCTCTCTCTCTCTCTCTCTCTCTTTTCTCTTCCGCTCTCTCTCTCTCTCACCTGTGTGTGTGAGAGAGAGAGAGAGAGAGAGAGAGAGAGACGCTTGGTTGACTTCCTGCAGACTTTGGTGTGGTGGATGGGTGTGCCTGAGGGGAGGAGGAGGCACACCCAGAGTCCTGCAGGAGACAGAAGGAGGGACTATGACGGAGACACCTGACGTTCCTTTACGTGTATAGGATCTTGGCCTCCTTCCCTCCCTCCTTCCCTCCTTCCTCCTTCCCTCCTTCCTTCCCTTTCTCTCACCATCCCTCATTCCCTCCCTCCATACCATCTGACTAATAACTCTTCCTCCCCTCCTTCCTTCATTTATTCCCTCCTTCCCTCCCTTCATCACCACCTGAAACAGTCCCTCCCTCCCTTTCTCCTTCCTTCCTTCCCTCCTTCCTTCCCTCCTTCCCTCCCTTCATCACCACCTGAAACAGTCCCTCCCTCCCTTTCTCCTTCCTTCCTTCCCCTCCTTCCTTCCCTCCTTCCCTCCCTTCATCACCACCTGAAACAGTCCTCCCTCCCTCTCTCCTTCCTTCCCTCCTTCCTTCCCTCCTTCCCTCCCCTTCATCACCACCTGAAACAGTCCTCCCTCCCTTTCTCCTTCCTTCCTTCCCTCCTTCCTTCCCTCCTTCCCTCTCTCTCACCACCTGAAACAGTCCCTCCCTCCCTTTCTCCTTCCTTCCTTCCCTCCTTCCTTCCTCCTTCCCTCCCTTCATCACCACCTGAAACAGTCCCTCCCTCCCTTTCTCCTTCCTTCCTTCCCTCCTTCCTTCCCTCCTCCCTCCCTTCACCACCACCTGAAACAGTCCCTTCTCCCTTTCTCCTTCCTCCTTCCTTCCTCCTTCCTTCCTCCTACCTCCCTCCCTCTACCACCTGAAGCACACAACCATTCCTTCATTATTACACCTTAAATATGATCTCATTTCCTTCCTACCCATTTACCTATTATTAGGGCACTTTACCTATTTTATTGACCTCCAACACCTATTTACCTATTGCTGACCCACTGACCCATTCACTGAAGTACTTATTTACCTATTACGTGTTCTGGGATACTGATTAGCTTATTACAGGTGATATTATTATTATTATTTATTATTATTATTATTATTATATATATATACATATATATATATATATATATATATATTATTATATATATATATATCATTATCTATCTCTCTCTACAGTCGCGTGTTCGACAGTGACGGTGAACAAGTGCCTGGCGGCCCTCAGAACCATCCAGGGATTCCCGTACTTCCAGCCTACCTGCCTGTGTCGTGAGCCTCACCTGGACAGGGAGTGTAATATCTTCAGGGAGTTTATCTTTGATCACTTTTGTATCTTCGTCGAGAATAAAGGTATGTGTGTGTGTGTGTGTGTGTGTGTGTGTGTGTGTGTGTGTGTGTGTGTGTGTGTGTGTGTGTGTCTGTCTGTCTGTCTGTCTGTCTGTCTGTTCGTCTGTCTGTCTGTTCGTCAGTATATCTCTTTTTCTATGTATTAATTTTGTTTCTATCTATCTATATGTCTATCTATATGTCTATCTGTCTGTCTATCGATCGATCTATCTATCTATCTATCTATCTATCTATCTATCTATCCTTGGTACCTGAGATAAGTGTCATCTTGAAGGCTTTACAAGTTTTATAAGTAGGTCGACTCTCAAGTGTATCTAAGTAACTTTTTATAGTGTCTTATGTATAGTTGTGTGTGTATAAGTGCGTGAGAGGGAAGTGAGAGTGAGGAAGAGGTGTATGATGAGTGGGAATGTGATAGGGGAGAGGGAAACATTTTCATCGTGTTTCTCTCCCTCCCACCTCCCCACTCATCTATCCCTCCCCTGTCTCTGCTGTTGGGAAGGAGGGGGTAGGGAAAGAGGGTGAGATGGGTGGGGAGATGAGGAGGAGAGGGGTGGAGAGGGAATTAGAAATGGGGAGACAACTTCAAGTTTTTTTTACATGCTTATTTGTTGTGTTTGTTTGTGTGTGTGTTTGTTTTTACTCATACACAGGTACACACAGACCCACAAAATCATGTACACTTCTCTCTCACCAGTAACACCTTAATAATTACTCATCGTCTGCTGATAAAAACTGACAAGAGATTATTGTTATCTTTATTACTTTTATCCACATACACTGACCTCTGACCTTCTGTGACCCCGTACACTGACTTTTGAACCTTCTGTGACCCCGAACAATAACCACATGACCTTCTATGACCCTGTATAACCCTGTGACCGTCTCCCGCCCTACAGAAGTGTCGCCCTATGCAGTCCACGCCCTGCCGCTGTGTGAGTACGCCCTCAACGCCTGCGAGACACTGCCGGGCTGCATCACCCTGTATGAGGAGTTCAGAGAAGCCTGCCGTGAGCGGGATGACCAGTGTAGGATGGTGAACACGTGAGTACCTTAGCTGTGGCTCTTGTGTCTTAGCTGTGGCTCTTGTTCATGCAGTGTCTTAGCTGTGGCTCTTGTTCATACAGTGTCTTAGCTGTGGCTCTTGTTCATGCAGTGTCTTAGCTGTGGCTCTTGTATCATAGCTGTGACTCTTGTGTCTTAGCTGTGGCTCTCTTACCTGTGTCTTAGCTGTGGCTCTTTCATACCTGTGTCTTAGCTGTGGCTCTTGGATCTTAGCTGCTGAACTAAAATCGTTACATAACCCATTAAGAGCGTATGTAATGTATCTTAGCTGTGGCTGTCCTAACCTAATCTAACCTAACCTAATCTAACCTAATCCTAACCTATCCTAACCTATCCTAACCCAACCTAACCTAATCTAACCTAACCTAACCTAACCTATCCTAACCTAACCTAACCTAACCTAACCTAATCTAACCTAACCTAACCTATCCTAACCCATCCTAACCTAACCTAACCTAATCTAACCTAACCTAACCTAACCTATCCTAACCTATCCTAACCTAACCTAACCTAATCTAACCTAACCTAACCTAACTATCCTAACCTATCCTAACCTAACCTAACCTAACCTAATCTAACCTAACCTAACCTATCCTAACCTATCCTAACCTAACCTAACCTAATCTAACCTAACCTAACCTAACCCATCCTAACCTATCCCAACCTAACCTAACCTAATCTAACCCAACCTAACCTAACCTAACCTAATCTAACCTAACCTAACCTATCCCTAACCTAACCTAACCTAACCTATCCTAACCCAACCTAACCTAACCTCCTAAGTGTGTATGACGTGTATTTTAGCTCTGGAGTTTTATTTACAGTTTTGTGGACCTAAATAGACAATCCAGTCCACTGTGACCTTTGGGGGGGACAAGAGGTCAAAGGTTAAATAGACTTGAAAAAAAGTAGTGTCCTAAGTTGCTATGTGTTGGGGCTGTGTGAGGCTGTGTAGGACTGTGTGAGGACTGTGTGTGGCTGTGTAGGGGCTGTGGGGCTGTAGGACTGTAGGACTGTGTGTGGGCTGTGTAGGGCTGTGTGGGGCTGTGTAGACTGTGTAGGACTGTGTGTGGCTGTGTAGGGCTGTGTGAGGCTGTGGGACTGTAGGGACTGTGTGGGGCTGTGTAGGCTGTGTGGGCTGTGTAGGACTGTGTAGGACTGTGTGTGGCTGTGTAGGGCTGTGTGAGGCTGTGTAGGAATGTGTAGGACTGTGTGTGGGCTGTGTAGGCTGTGTGGGGCTGTGTAGGGTGACTGTGTGTGGGCTGTGTAGGGCTGTGTGAGGCTGTGTAGGACTGTGTGACTGTGTGGGGCTGTGTAGGGCTGTGTGGGGCTGTGTAGGAATGTGTAGGGACTGTGTGTGGCTGTGTAGGGCTGTGTGGGGCTGTGGTAGGACTGTGTAGGACTTTGTGTGGCTGTGTAGGGCTGTGTGAGGCTGTGTAGGGCTGTGTAGCACTGTGTGTGGGCTGTGTAGGGCTGTGTGGGGCTGTGTGAGGACTGTGTAGGACTGTGTGGGCTGTGTAGGTTGTGTGGGGCTGTAGGGCTGTGTAGGGAGTGTGTGACTGTGTGGGGCTGTGTAGGGCTGTGTGGGGCTGTGTAGGCTGTGTAGGAATGTGTAGGCTGTGTGGGGCTGTGTAGGACTGTGTGGGGCTGTAGGACTATATGGGGCTGTAGACTGTGTGGGGCTGTGTAGGCTGTGGGGCTGTGTGGGACTGTGTAAAGCTGTGTAGGACTATGTGGGGCTGTGTAGGGCTGTGTGGGGCTGTGTAGGACTGTGTGGGACTGTATAAGACTGTGTGAAACTATTTAGGGACTGTGTAGGTCAATGTGGGACTATGTAGGGGCTATGTGGGACTATGTAGGGGCTATGGAATTTCAAGTACAATACATAAAGCTAGATAGATGGAGAACGTGGTGTCGAATTTTAAGAAGAAGGAAATTAAAACCCTATGGGAGGACACGATACTATTATATAAAGATGGAGTTTGAAAGAGATGGAGTATAGAAGGTTGTTAAAGGGAGGGAAATTGATATAGATATAAACACGATTCCAACCTATATAGATGGAGGGTGAGGGAAGGAAGATGGTGACGTGTGTTTGTTTGTTTGTTTTGTTTGTTTGTTTGTTGTTAAGGGTGATGGAGGGTGTGTTATTGGCTCCATCTTTCTATTTCCTTCTCTCCTTTCCCACCTCTCTCTCTCCTTGTCTCTCCCACAATCCTCTCTCTCCCCTTTCCTTTCTCTCCCTTCCCTCTCCCTTTTTCCTTTCTCTCCCTCTCCCTCTCTCTTCTTTTCTCTCTCCTTCCTTCTCTCTCCCCTTTCTCTCCCCCTTCACATCTCTTCCCTCCCGTTCATTACACGTCTTGAACATTAATCTCTGACCTCTGACCCCTAGACGCGTGTGAGGAACAGCAGGTAATGATGACCTGTAATAGGTAGTTGAAGATAATTAGGTGGAGGGTGTGACTCTCTCTCTCTCTCTCTCTCTCTCTCTCTCTCTCTCTCTCTCTCTCTCTCTCTCCTTATATTTCCACTTTATCTCCCTTTCTCTTCATATTTCCCTCCTCTCTCCATCCTTCATCCCTCCCTCTTTCTTACTTTCCCTCCTTGCCCTCCTTCTTTCCAACTTCCCTTTCCCTTCTTCCCTCTACCCATCCTCTCTTCCTCCACCTCCTTCTTTCTTATCACCTCCCTCCCTCCCTCCCTCCTCAGCACAATGGGGACCAGATGTACTAATATTACAAAGGTCAGCTCTGGGGTTCGTTCACATAAATTACAGTAATCTCGTCCGCTCTCCCTCTTATACTACCCAATCCCGAACCTGAATCCGAACCCGAATCCGAAACCGAACCCAAATCCGAAACCGAATCCGAACCCAAATCCGAAACCGAAACCGAAACCTAACCCGAGCTAAGTATCGGAACCCCATCTGACCTTACCTAAGCTATTCTGAACTAACATGACAAAATTAACCTAACTTAATCGAATCTAACCTAACCTAAATTAACTTACACGAAATACATGAGAGTACACATAATGTATACCTGTAAGCACACACACACACACACACACACACACACACACACACACACACAGAATAAAAGATGTAGGCAGGATGATGGTAGGAGTCAGTCTCGCCTGCTCCACAATATCCGCTACTGCCAGCTGATACCCGCTCTACGCCCGGGAATATCCTGATAGGCATGGAGGCATCCTGGGGAGGAAATTCGGTGTTGCGGGCGTGTGGAGATAGTGTGTGTGTGTGTGTGTGTGTGTGTTGGGGGGATGGCCAGGATCATCTCCTGTATACACACACACACACACACACAACAACACACACACACACACACACCAGCTTCTCCATTATATCTCCTCCCTCTCTCCCCACGCCCCTCTCACTCCTTCACCCCATCCCTCTCTCTCTCCCCCACTCTCCCTCCTTCACCACCCCTCCCTCACACACCCCATCTCCTCAACATCATTCTTCCCTTTCTTTTCCTCCCACACTACACCTGCCTTTTTCCCGCGCTTTTTTCCCGCTTTTTTCCCGCGCTTTTTTTCACACCTCACCTACGCAGTTTTTCCCGCGCATTTTAATTATTTTTTCCAAGTGTTTTTTCCTCAATTTTACTTTCTCTTATTTCACGCTTTATTTATAGCTGTTTATTTATTTTTTCTTGGGTTAATTCTCTGCTTTACGACATAATTATTATTATTTTTTACATTATTTTGTCATTATTACGAAGGACAAATCTTATCCCTTTATGTTT